GCCTTAGCTGCTTGAGCCACAGGTGCTGAGCATGTATTCCTTCTTTTATCAATATGTTCCCCAAAGCAGTGCCAATCATGCAAATTCAGTTAGGGTGAACAGGTGTGAATGGCTCCCGCTGGGTGTTTTACACTAATCTGTGATCCTTGTTGCTGTGTTCAGGGACAAAAGGCAGCTGGGCAGTTTCAGAGGATGGTAACACTGGTGCCCATGTTGGGCCCCCGGGACCAGTGGATGGATGGGGCTTTTGGTGAGTACATGCCACGTGTAACACGTGGCTCTGCTGTCCTGTGTTCCATCTGAGAACTTGTGTCCCATCCCACACACACTTCCTCTGACTGCCATGGTACTGTAGGAGAAAATTCCTAATGCCATCTCTCATTAATTTTGTATTCAAGAGGAAAGGTACTTTTGGTCTCAGATCTTTCAGAAAGAGGAGAACCCACTCAGCTGCAGCAAAGGCCAGACTTCTATTTGGGCTATATGAAATTTTTGAGTACACAATTATGTTGAATTTGAAAATTACAATTGAATTTGCTATAAATGGACTGGGTTTTAACTAAGCTTTTCAGAGCAACTTCTGAGTAGTGGGGAAAAAGTTAATTCTCAAAGACAGCTAATATTTTAGCTTTAATGGCTTGCTGTTTTTATTCTTTCAGTTTGCCTTCTAGTAAGAATAATAAACTGTTTCTTTAAAATGTGACCCACTCTGGAGTTTGAAATGAGTGTTATAATAGTCACAGGTAGTAGTTTTTAGATTTAGGTTTCATATTGCACTTTGGTGTAGTTTTGGTATATTTTGTGCTGGACTTTTGTTACTTCTTGAAGGGGGTATGACTATTGTCCCTTAGCGAGATGGACATCAGGAAGCCGGTGCAAGGAAAACACTGACTGCTCCTTGTGGAGCTCAAAGTCTGGCTGGATGATCAGATTTTAAAAAGAAGACCGGAGTAAATGGAGGCTTTCATCTTAGGGGATAGGGAGGAATTCTGGGGAAGAATGGATATTTAAGCTTAGACCAGGTTTCTCAACCATAACACTACTAATATTGGGACTTGATTAATCTCTGTGGTGGGGGCTGTCCTGTGTGTGGTGAATGTGCATCCCTACCCTTAATTCTTTAGATGCCAGTAGCACTTTCCCTGTATTAGTTTGCTAATTAGGGATGCCATATCAAAGTACCACAGACTGGGTAGATTAAATAATAGAAATATATTGTCCCACAGTTCTGGAGGCCTGAAACTCAAATCAAGGTGTCAGCAGCCTCTGTCCTTCATTTGTCAAAGGCCATCTTCCTCATGTATTTTCACATCATTTTTCTTCTGTACATATATGTGTCCACATTTCTTCTTCTTATAAGGAGTCCAGTCATACTGAATTAGGGCCCACCTTACTGACCTCATTTTAATTTTGACTTCTCTAAAGGACTCTGTGTCCAAATATGGTTACATTCTAAGACACTTCAAGATATAATTTTTTTTTTGAAACAGAGTATTTCTCTGTTGCCCAGGCTGGAGTGCTGTGGTCTCATCCTACCATACTGTATCCTCAAGCTTCTGGGTTCAAGTGATCTTCTCACTTTAACCTCCCAAGTAGCTGGAACTATAGGTTCTTCCTACTATGCTTGGTTAAGTTTTGCATTTTTTATAGAGATAGCATCTCATGCTTGCTTAGACTGGTCTCAAACTCTTGGCTTCAGGCAGTCCTTCTGCCTCAGCCTGCCAGAGTGCTAGGATTACAGGTTTGAGGCACTGCACTTGGTCATTCAACATATTTTTTTGCAGTATAGTTTAGCTCATAAAACCTTTCCAGTCATGATAAGCAAAAATACTACAGATGCAATGGACTGAATTATGCTCCCCTCCTCCCAAATTCATGTTGAAGCCTTGGACCCTCCAGGGGACTGTATTGGAGACTGGCCCTTTAAGGTGTCTAAGGTTAAATGAGGTCATATGGATGGGTCCCTGAATGATAGAACTGATGTTCTTACAAGAAGAGGAAGAGGCCTGAGACATGTCTACTACATGAGGACACAGCTAGAAGGCAGCTGTTTGCAAGTGAGGAAGGGAGTCTTGTCCAGAACCTAATCATGCTGATGCCCTGGTCTCAGACTTGCAGCTTTCTGAACCATGAGGAAAATAAGTTTCTAATTTACCCAGTCTATGATACTTTGTAATGGCAATCTAACACCAGACATTACCAATTGTCTTTCCTGGGTGACAAGCATTGGCTTAGACCATAACAATTTTGGTTTCATTTAGTATGGCCTGGTGTTGGGCTTTTGGGAGGTTTGGAGAGAGGATTTCAGGCCTAGGAATAATACTGGTAAAATACCTCAGGAAACAGAGAGCCTGCTGTGTCCAGGGTCCACAAAAGGCTATGTGAAGGAAGCAAAGGGAAGTCGAGGGTGGCGTGAGCTGATTGGAGAAGGAGCAGGCTACAGATCATTCAGAGCTTGGGAGCATGGGAAGGGAACAGTGGCCCATATTCTGAGGCCACTGGGAGCCAGTGATGCTTTTAGGTGAGAATTACAGTGATCCAGTGATTTTAACAGAACCTCTAGCACATGAGAGGAGGATGGACCTCAGTGAGGATACCAGTGGTGGATAAAGGCAGTTACAGATAGAAAGGTGACAGTCTGACTTGGGGATGAGTGTGATGTAGGTGTGCTAGGATTCCCTAAGACCACCCCAGGTTCTATGAGGACTCACAAGTCTCAGCATACAGTCATCCTAATGGCTCTGACTTATTACTGGGAAGGGATACAAAGCCAAATCAGCAATGGGAAAGCCTCCTGGGTGAAGTCCAGAGGAAACCAGATATAGGCTTCCATAGTCCTCTCCCCATGGAATCACATAGGGCAGCTCAATTCCTCCATTGCCAAGGTGTGACAACACACATGCAGTGTCATCTACTAGGGAACCTTGAGATGCAGTGCTTATGGCAGTGCTTTTCAACTGGTGTGCTGTGGTACACTAATTTGCTGTGAGAATATCTTAGGTGTACTGCAAAAAATTTTAAAGATCATTAATTAAATTCTTTTCTTTCTTTCTTTTTTAAAATTTGAGACAAAGTGTCACTTTATTGCCCTTGGTAGAGTGCCATGGCATCATAGTGCACGGCAACCCCAAACTCTTGGAGTTAAGTGATTGTCTTGCCTCAACCTCCCAAGTATCTGGGACTACAGGCATCTGCCACAGTGCCCAGCTATTTTTAGAGATGCAAGTCTCACTCTGGCTCAGGCTGGTCTTAAACTTGTGAGCTCAGGCTATCCACCCATCTTGGCTTCCCAGAGTGCTAGGATTACAGGTATAACCTACTGTGCCCAGCCCTAAATTATTTTCTAAAGAAGTTCAAAGTATTTATTAATTTTTATTGTTGTTGCAATGGCCACTGAAGTCTTTGTCATAAAATCTTTCCCCCGTCCAACATCATCAAGAGTTTTCCTCACACTTTCTTCTAATATTTTTATTGTTTTGTGTCTTAGATTTAAGTGTCTTATCCATCTTGAGTCAATTTTTATTTATTTATTTTTATTGTTGGGAATTCATTGAGGGTACAAAGAACCAGGTTGCAATTATCATTAGCTACTTGAGAGTCTGAGGAAGGAGGATTGGTTTAGCCCACGGTTGGGAGGTTGCAGTGAATTTTGATGACTCCAATGCACTCTAACCTAGGAGACAGAGTAAGACACTATCTCAAAACAAAGAAGAAAAGAGAGATCAGATGACAGACACATCAACTGGATTTCCCACTATGGGTGGGATTCACTGGGAATCTCAGTGCAATGTTGGCCCTTGAAGTGGTGGGAATGGAAAGTGAATCAGTTGGGAGGAAATGTTTTAGGGAGTTGACAGCTATGAAGAGATAGGACAGTAGCCAGAGGGAGAAAGGTGTTTTGGCTTGAATGATGTCCCCCAAAAGATATGTTGAAGTCTCAGCCCTGTGAATGTGACCTTATTTGGAAATAGGGTCTTTGTAGATGTAACCAAGGTCAGATAAAGTCATGAAAGTAGGCCTTAATTCCACATGACCATGTGTTTATGAGAAGAGCAAAATGCCACTCCAAGACAGAGACACACAGTGAAAACTTGACATGTTGATGGAGGCTGAGGCTGGAGTGATATGTCTTTAAGCTGAGGGATACCAAGGGTCAGCAGCACCTCCAGAAGCTAGAAGAGGCAAAGAAAGATTCTACCTAGAGTCTCAGAAGGTGTTGCCTTGCTTATACCTTGAGTTTGGACTCCTGATCTCTAGAACTATGAGAGAATAAGTTTATGTGGTTTGAAGCCACAGAGTTTGTGATACTTTGTTATGGTAGCTCCAGGAAACTCACATGTAGGGTCAGGGATTAGATGTGGTCAGACTTAAATACTGAGAAGAAAGGTCCAGTTGGAAGGGAGAGGTGAGGGTGCAGGGGGATAAGGGGTGACCAGGGAGTTCTATGCCTGCCTGTCCTAGGCCAGAGGGCAGATGCCTGCTCCTGAGTGGGGGTGGCATCCATGTGAAGGCAGGTGGGAAGGACATTTTCTTCTTAAGTAGATTCATGGGGTGGAATTGGCTCATCTGTCTCCTGCTTGTGGTGAGTCCCAGGGTCATGTTAGCCATGCAGAGTGGAGACAGAGGAAGGGGCCAGGCAGCTGGGGTGGAAGAGCTGTCCCAAGACTGAGTTGGGGGGAGTGATGGGGGGAGTGGAGAGCTCTGGAGTCTCTCAGTGACATGAGACTTTGGATCTTGGGATATGGATATGGAGGGACGTGTGTGTGTGTGTGTGTGCCTGTTTATGTGAGTTTGTGTGGGCACTTGTCTCTGTGTGTGTGTGTCCCTGTGTGCTAGTGTGTGCAAAAGTGTGTGTGTAACCATGAATGTGTATATGCACACACATGTCACTCACAGGGTGGACAGCCTTTGTGCTCACTGGGCTGGGCACTGACTCTCATGTCCCTTCTCTTTTCCACTAGCTCTGCCTACAGCAGACCATGCTTGGCTCCAGGAGGACAGTACAGAGGAAGAAGACATGGTGGCTCCTGGGATGCCAACTACCTGTTCACAGGTAAGTAAGAAATCCTCTTACTCTAAAATCCTTCTGCTGTGCTTGAAGCCAACCTCACTGCCTTCTCATGACCTACTTCGACTCTCTTAGCCACACAGGGCTGATCTTCAGGCTTCTAGGAGCTGGGCCTTGTGTATTGGGTGGGAAAAACCTTGGCAACAACCCCACTCCCTCATTCAGACCCCTCCCTAGGCTGCTGATGCTGGGAAGGAAAACAAAGCAAGGGTGTGAGCTGTCCTTGTTTAGTAGTCTTCATTGTCTTCCCGGGCAAAGAGTTAAGTCATTTATGAGATAGTTCTCTCCTGCCCCCCATGTGTTCAGGTCTGCTGGACCCTGGAGCTAGAAGGGGTAAGGAGGTGCAAGGACTTTCTGGCTATCTTTCAATAGATAAGTCCTTTAATGAAGTAGAGGTTTTTCAACATTATTTGTAGGCTTTTGCTCCTATTACTTAGAGAGTGCAGAGTAGAGAGAGAAGAGTTTTCTTTCTGAGACCTGCATGAAGGGGAAGATTCTGGAGGAGCTCGAAAGCTCATCTGAAAATCCTCCCTCCCCTAGGCCTGCCAGCCTCCCCTATCCTCTTGAGTATGGGTGGGAGTGGCCTCTGGCTGAGCCAGGATGGGTATGTGTTTTAGGAACCAGTCACCTTTGCAGATGTGGCTGTGGTGTTCACCCCAGAAGAATGGGCATTTTTGGATTCCACTCAGAAAAGCCTATACAGAGATGTGATGCTGGAGAACTACAGGAACCTGGCCTCTGTGGGTAAGGCTGGTATCATTGCTTCATCCACACATTCATGCAGCAGCCATTGGTGAAGTCAAGAGGTAAAAAGACAGATAACTCCTGACCTCATGATACCTGCAGTATTAGGGTAGACTTTGTGTGGATATGAAGATTTGTCTGCTGCTCTCTGTCTTTCCATGGTTAAAAGCATCCAGGCTTCTCAAATATATTCCTGGCCCTGGGTTTTTGAGACAAGAAAGCCCTAACACCCTCTGGGACCCAGAAGGAAAATGGTATTTAGTTCCTTGGTGAAAGAGCTTTGATGTGTCTTTCAGAACTTAGGTACTTTCATTTTGTTACTCCTATCTTGAGAGACCCTAAAGACTTTAGAATATCTGCCCCAGTGTCATGGTGGATGAAGCCCACCCACACTGTATCTATCCCCACAAGCAAGTGAACAGCTCTACAAACCCTGTACATTGTCCCATTTGGAGCAAAGAGATGAGCTGTGGACCAAGGAGAGAGGAGTTATCTCAGACACCTGTCCAGGTAAGTGCCAGATGGCTCAGGTGAACACCAGCTCTGGCAAATGAGAGGAAAGTTAGATTGGGAAATTATCAATTAGGGGAACATTTTCAGTGCCCATGACTCAGAGGGCTATTTGGTAGAGCTCCCATCTAGAGAGCTCCTTAGTCAATTCCATCTTCTTTCCTCTTTCCCTTTCCTTTTAATTTCTTATATTTTACTCTGATTTCACAGAAATATTTGCCCTACCTCCTCATTATCTTTAACATTTCTGTATGTGTATTTTATCCACTTCCTTTCCACTATACATTCTTGCAAATATTTTTCCTTCAAGTTACTCAATTTTCATAGAATCCTTTTTGAGTAAATTTCCTGCTGTTTTCATCCTTTGTTCCTGTAATTACATAACTCTTCACATAGCCACATGCCTTAAAATTTCCTTCATTTTTTGATAATTCCTGCACTTTGAAATTTCTTCCCATGTTTAGGATCAGCATTTGAAAAGAAATAATCCACATGTGCTTGCTTACATTTTTGTTCACCTTGATTTCACAGTTTCTTTCTCTATGTCCTTAATATTTTCCTCCTAATTCATTCCAGACCCACAACTTCAACTCACAGAGTCAATTTCTAGTGAAGATATTTTTGTGGAGATTCCATCTTTTGGCATGAAAATGGTAAGATTCACCAGGGACAATTCTTTTATGGGTAGAAACCATCTGTGGGTGCTGTAGGTTAGAAAAGCAGCATAATGGCTGAGAGAGATTTGAGACAAGTGTTTCCCACCCAGGAGAAAGCAATTTCTTGGGAGAGAGTCTGTGAATGTCATAAATTAGCAGAAAACTAAATGTAGATCAAGTCTGTGTTTTCATAGAGCGCTCACAAGTAACCATTTTCACAAGAGTGACACAGATACAGAGTATTTAAAACTTAATTTAGCCTTAAGCAATTTAGAAAAACTCTGCTTCTAAAAAGTCCTATGAAAAGATGGCTCTAACTGTCAGATCAGAGCATCCACCCTGATCTGTTTGAGGGAACTATGGTCGAATGGTACAAACTCACTAAAATGATAAAAGTGGTAGATATAAAAATGAATGTCTCTAATATTCATTTCACGTGGGGAAGAATATCTGTGTATGCAATAAAGTCTTTGGTCTTCACATTTTCCTTAATGAGGTTGATGGGTGCAACCTCAGCCTGGATAAAACTCTATAAATATAATGAATATGAGAAATGTTTTAACAGCATTGCACTACTTTTCCCGTACCAGAGACTTCATGCTGGAGAGTCGCCCTATGGATGTCAAGAGAGTGGAAATTCCTTCTTCCAGAGAGCTCACCAAATTGTGCCAGAGAAAATCCATAGTGGGGATAAAATCTATGCATGTAACAAATGTGAAAAGTCGTTTAGATACAGCTCTGACCTCATCAGGCATGAGAAGACTCATACTACAGAGAAGTGTTTTGAATGTCAGGAATGTGGACAAGCCTTCAAGTATTCCTCAAATCTGCGGCGACACTTGAGAACTCATACTGGAGAGAAGCCCTTTGAATGCAGCCAGTGTGGGAAAACCTTCACAAGGAACTTTAACTTGATTTTGCACCAGAGGAACCACACAGGAGAGAGGCCCTATGAGTGCAAAGATTGTGGGAAGGCATTTAATCAGCCCTCGTCCCTTAGGAGCCATGTGAGAACTCACACAGGAGAGAAGCCCTTTGAATGTGGCCAGTGTGGGAAAGCCTTCAGAGAACACTCATCGCTGAAGACCCATCTGCGTACCCACACCAGAGAGAAACCATATGAATGTAACCATTGTGGCAAGCCTTTCCGGACAAGTACTCACCTGAATGTGCACAAGAGGATACACACAGGGGAGAAATTGTATGAGTGTGGGACTTGTGGTCAGGTCTTGAGTCGTCTCTCGACCCTAAAGAGTCACATGCGAACTCACACTGGAGAGAAGCCATATGTATGCCAGGAATGTGGGCGAGCCTTTGGCGAGCCCTCCTCTCTGAGGAAGCACGTGAGGACTCACAGTGGCCAGAAGCCCTACACATGCCAGGAATGTGGGCGAGCGTTTGGTCAGTCTTCACACCTCCTTGTGCATGTGAGAACACATACTGTGGGGAGACCTTATCAATGTAATCAGTGTGAAAAAGCCTTCAGACACAGCTCGTCACTCACTGTGCATAAAAGGACCCACATAGGGAGAGAAAACATTAGGAATGGCAGACTGCCTTTATCCATATCTCATTCCTATGGTGGGCCCCTTGATAACTAACTTGCAATTTGTAGAAGTATAAACATTTGGGGCTATTACTATTCCATAATACTTTAGCAGCATCCCATGTTTTGATGTATAATGTTTTCATTTTGGTTTAATCCTAATATTGTCTTAACTTCCATTATCATTTATTCTTTGACCCAAGCATTATGTGGAATTAAATTTTTCAATACAGTAAGTGGATATATTTTTCAGAGATGTATAATGACTTACAGTGAAATGCATACATTTTAAGTATACCATTGGATGAGTTTGACAGATGTATACTTATATGCAACGAACACCTCATTCCAGATGTAGAATGTTTCTGTCATTCTGGAAGGGTCCTGCAAGTTATATGGCTGTTTTTTAGTTGCATTTCTGTTTTTGGTTTCTACATGGTGAGTTGATTATATGCCTTTGTGTTATTATATCTTAGGTATTTGTTGAGATTTACTGTTAGGTCTGGTGTGGCTTATCCTGATAGTTGGAGATCTACATTGCTCTTTCTCCCTTAGAAACGAAACCTGGGTTTTTTGTTCAGGTTGGTGTTATGGACTGTTAAAAAAATCTCTATCTCCCAGCCCATCTAGTAAGCAAGGGCAGGAGGCCATGTCCTGCAGTCCTGCTGGCAATCATTAGTAGGGGAAGACACTGGATGTGCCTCCAGGGAAAGATTTTGCACAGAAATGGTTTCATTTAGCCAGATCTCTTCTTGCCTTGTGGACAAGCATACATGATGTCCAGAGCCAGAGGAGCTGTCCTGTGACTATGAGGGTAAAAGCCACGGGCTAAGGAGAGTGTGGCCAGAAATCACAACCATCCTGTTTCCCTAATCTAAAAGATAGTTAGAATGTATCTGCAGAGTTGCTGTCTTTGTGTATCCACATGAGCCCTAGACTATTTCTGGATATTCCATTACATGAAAAAAAAAGTACTCTTCTGACTTTTACTAGACATTGTTTTATATATTTTTTCAGGGGTGTGTGTTTATTTCAGTCGAGTACAATCCCTGATGCATTTAACATATGGCAATTTTTAATAAATGCCCCATGGGTGGTTGAAATAAGTGTATGGCATTCTACATATGTCTTCCAGGTCAAGCATATTGTTTGTGTTTAGAAACTATCTACGCATTTATAAAGATAGATCTCTGACCTATCTTTTATTGAGACATTAAACTTTCCCATCATGACTATGGATTGTCAAATGAGATTTTGACATTTGATAAATTTCCAGCTAATTGTTACTTTTCTTGTTATAAAGTGACCATATTTTCCCTAATGATGAACATTCAACTATTCATGATAATGATAGCAAATACCTATGTAGAGCTTACTGTTAACAGATAGTGACCACTGCCTGAAGCTTTGCATCTTTTAATTTAGTCCTCACAGTGGCACTTGGCTATAGGTACTGTTATTATCCCTGATTCACAGACAAGGAAGCTGAAGCACACAAGTTAAGGTGAGTTACTCAAGGTCACTAACTCTATTCCACAGTTCCAGACATGGGGGACTGCTCTCCATTTTTACTTGTTGTCATAGGGTTCTTGTGTTTTTTAAAGTTCTTTTAGTTGAAGTATAACTTATACAGAAGTTCATAAATCTCAGGGTACACCTTGATGTATTTTATTATGTACAGTATATGTCTATACCCACCACCCCCCCCTTCAAAATATAAAATATTTTATCATGCCAGAAGTTCCCTTTGGGTCTACCCCATCCCTAGAGTCCCCAGAGGTTATTGCTATTCTAACTCCTATCACCATAGATTTATTTTTCCTGTTCATGGAAAAGAGCCATATGCAGCCCCCTGGTGTTTGTTTTTTCACTTATTAAAGTATCTTTGAGATTTATCTATGTTACATTATCAATAGTTCATTCTTTTTCATTGTCATGTAATATTCCATTGCCTGACTGTACTGCAATTGAAATATTCCATTCTTCTTTTGATGGACATTTGAGTTCTGTCCTCCAGTTTCATTTATGTTGTTGCAAATGACAGGATTTCTATTTTTTATGGCTGAATAATTGTTGTGTATATATGCCATGTTTTCTTTATCCATTCATCCATTGATGGACACTTAGGTTAATTCTGTATCTTGGCTGTTGTGAATAATGCTGTAGGTTTTGCTGTTATGACTAAAGCTTCTGTAAATGTCCTTGCATAAGTTTTTACTTAGGACATAATCTATTCCTTTCTCTTGAGTATATACATAGGAGTGGAATTGCTGGACCTTTGGGGAGGCATATCTTTAGCTTTAGTAGATATTACCAAACAGTTTTCCAATGTGGTTGAAACAATTTGTATATCAGTCATCAATGAATGAAAGTTTCATTTACTTCACATCTTTAGCAATGCATAGTCCTGTCAGTCAACTTAATTTTAGCTATATTAGTGTGTAGGTCATGGTTTCTCCAGTTTTAATTTGCACATTCTTGTTGAGTAATGGTGTGGTGGTAGATAGCTGCCACAGTGGTTTCTCCATCCTTCTGTCCTTCCATCCATCTCTTTTCCATGTGACCTTGTAGCTCCTCTCAAGAGGTGGAGTTTATTCCTCCACCCCTTAAATATGATCTTGATTGGGTGACTTTCTTTAGCCAGTGTAACATTAATGAATATGACAAGAGTAGAGGCTACAAAACACATACTGGGTTTTGTCATCTTTTAGCTGTGGTTAGACTCTTGAGAGCAAGGTGTGAGGATGCCTGGACCAGCCTCCTCTAGGATGAGAGACCACAGGTAGAGAGGAGCCCATTGGCAGCTGGTACCAAGTGCCAAATGTGCAAGTGAGGTCCTCTTCGGTTATCCAGCTCCTGGCATGGAACCAGATGCCTGAAGCTGCATGACTGACACTATCAGAACTACCCAGCTGAGTTCAGCTCAAATTGCTGACTCAGAATTATAAGCACATAAAGTAGCTGTCAGGCAGCAATAAATAACTGCAACAGAACTTAGCAGCAATAATGGGATACTGCTGTGGAAATCTTTTAAAAATTTACTTTCCCTATTTTAAAATTATTTAAATATAAATTAATTGTTTATATTTAACACATATATTTTGTGAAGCATGTATGTACCATGGAATAATTGAATCAGGTTTAAGAATTAACATACACATTGCCTCACATACCTATCATTTTTTGTGGTAAGAGCAGTTAAAACTTACTGTCATCAGTCTTCAAGTATACACCACATTATTGTTAGCTATCATTATGATGTACAATAGATACTTGAGCTTGTTCCACCTGTCTAACTAGAATTACTAGAGGTTGCCCTTTGACCAACATCTCCCCATCCCACCACTTACCCCCTGGTAACCACCATTCTACTTTCTGCCTTTACGAATCCAATTTTTTAGATTCTACATATAAGGGAGATCATTTGTTTTTCTTTCCCTGCCTCAGCATAACATCCTTCAGGTTCATCTGTGTCATTGCAAGTGACAGAATTTCCTTTTTTTCTTATGACTGAATAGTATTTCATTGTGTAGATATATCATACCTCTTTTATCCAGTCACCTGTTGATGGCTACTTGGGTCGAATGCATCTCTTGACTATTGTGAATAGTGCTGCCATGAACAGGGGAGTGCAGGTATTTGACATGCTGGTTTCATTTCCTTTGAGTATATACCCAGCAGTGGGATTGCTGAATCATATGGTAGTTCTATCTTTAGTTTTCTTTCTTTGAGGAAAAAAATCACCTCATCCCTGTCAGAATGCCTGTCGAAAAGATGAAAGATGGCAAGTGTTGGCAAGGAAAAAGGGGAAGCTTTTCATACTGATAATGAGAATGTAAATTCACTCAGCTATTATGGAAAATGGTATGGGAGTTCCACAAAATCTTAAAATGTGGGATTGATTTTGAAATTAAGCAGCAAGAAAGGAGTAAGGAAACTGCTACTAGAGTTTAGAAATAGGCTATCAGGTTGTATGGTGGGGAAGTCATTGGCAAAATGCTGTGTATAGTAACTTGGAAGAGAGACTGTGTACTTGATGAACTTGAGGAGGGAAGATTTCTCCCCAGTTTTGCCTCCAGTCTTCCTTATGAGCACCCGGTGGTGTCCAAGGAAAAGACCCAGTGAGTAGGTGAGAACTCCCCTTGCATTCGAGGCTCCTCAGGTTCTCTCCCCTGCACACCAGCCCACATGTGGCTTTTAGCAGTTTGTCAAAAATTTCAGCAGGAATCTTACCCTCTTTTCTGGGAGCCCTATCTGTGTCCCACACTACAGGTGAGCAGTGTTCCTTTCCATCTTTTCTCCCCTAGATTCCAGACTAGTGGGTTGTGTGCAACCCCAGCTCACTGATGGGTTCAAGAGAGCTTATGTTTTTGTCAGTTACTGAACTTTTTCTTGTTGCGTGGTGGCAGCAACATCTACCATGTTTCTATATCCAAGAGGGAAATCAGAAATGGGGGTCTTCCTAAATCAAACTGCTTTTTGAATTGCTTATTGGACTTTATTTCCTCTTTTTTATAAGTTCTCTGAGATCAGAGAGCACTCAAAGTTGTTCAATATGACTTTCTTTAAGCCTAGCACTGTGCTGGGAAGAAAATAAGCTTTGAACATACTTGTTAAGTATATATGAATTCATATCAGGGCAAGTGTTACCAGGTGGAGCATGCATGGTCTCTGAGTCCACTGGGCTGTTGCTGTGTGTGGACTTCTTTCTCATATGTGGGCTTGAAGCTATGACCTCTGAAATTCACCACTGCTTAGCAGTCCTTATGTAGAGTAAAGAGCAGTCCCTGTGGTCATTTGTTTTACAGAAACCATAAGAAACTGACACAACTTGTAAACTGGATCTGAATGTAGGATGAAGCTTGCCTGGATTTGAATCTTATTACATCACTGTCTAGCTATGTATCCTTGGGCATGTTACTGAGCTTTTCTGTGCCTCAGTTTCCTCATCCATAATAGGAGGGTTATAACATTATTTCCCACATGGGGCTCTTAGACAGCCTGAATCAAATGAGTAACCAGCATGTAGCATATGCTCAGTGTTTATTGTTATTATCATAAAGAATACACTAAGTGAGGTGTTAGAATGATTTGAAATCAAGCTTACTTTCAATTATGAGTGGAATTAGTCGTGACTGAATTTGAATCCAATAATGTATCCCAAAACTTCTTTTTGAGATTGAAATTCCGAGCTTCTCAGACAATTTTTTTTTCTTTTCTAATTATGCCCTTTCCTGTAACATGACACCCAGAGCAGGAAATAAATGAGCTCTGATGTCCTATATAACATTTGATTTTATATATTGGTTTACATCATAGACTTTTTTGGATTTCAAGTGAGATCATGTAGTATTTGTATTTCTGTGCCTGGCTTATTTCACTTAATAGAATGTCCTCCAGGTTCATCCATTTGCATGTGACAAAATTTTCTTGTTTTTTTTTTTTTTTTGAGACAGAGTCTCACTATGTTGTCCTCAGTAGAGTGTGATGGCATCACAGCTTACAGCAACCTCAAACTCTTGGGCTTAAATGATTCTCTTGCCTCAGCCTCCCAAGTAGCTGGGACTACAGGCCCCTGCTGCAAACCCTGGCTGTTTTT